TTTTTTTTTTCTAATTTAAACTTGTAATCATTAGTTATCTTGACTTTCACGACACTGAATAGAACCACAGCATGACAAGGAGAAATAAAACAGGCAGTTCTGGTAGTGATGTAAAAGCTTTCAGACTCTCTGTTTGACGCTATAAACTCTTCTAGTTTAGAAGTACTTTGCTTACCCGACTAGCCTAAGCTTCTCATGGGATGTTCYTGATAGAACTAATAGCCCAAATAGATMGCAGAGCGTTCTCGCTGCAATTTAAAAGCTGATAGCATCTTCATAGACAAGAAACTTGACCGTTAAAAAAATATYAAASTTGTCGACTTGYAAGTATGAAATTCCAACTGGAGTTCGAGTTCCTAGACTTGTATTACGTTGCCTTTATCTCTCTTTTTGAGAACTTTTAATACCATAATGAATATTCATTATTAAGAACAAACGACATCGTTGTAAATTGATGACATTTTTAATGGCAAGATTGTCGATTCAACAAGATTATTAATTAGAATTTTAATTAATGAACGGTAAATTTGAAAGTGATCTTTGTAAGAAGGTTAGAGCACTATTTCAAACAGTATCGCTTTTTTTTTTCACTTTTCAGTTAACTTATGGGACGATGAAATTATGACGAGTCGAGCGTCTGTAAAATAATATTTCAAGCAAAGTTTGATAGTTTAGGTTTACAAGAGAAATTTATCTTGAGCTTGTACTAGATGTGAAAATGGATATTGAAGCCAGCTGAAAGGACAACAGGATAACTGGAGAGACATTACAAAATAGATGCCAAAACAAAATGGGATTTCGAAAGGGAAGACAAAATCTAAGCCCGAGGAAAATCATCAGAAACCCTAGAGTAGCTGTATTTAGTTGAATTTATAATAAATGGATGGATGTATGGGAGAAGATTGTGTGGGCGAGCCAATCTACCGTTACATATGAACATTCCACACTTACGGACAAGTCGCTATCACTACAACAGACATAAGACTAACGAAACCCCGCTATACCGAACACACATCACTATTACGATCAACAAAAATAATAAAATATACAGCACACAACTTAAAGGGGACTCCACTTCTACGGACAGTCTATAAATAATGGTCCTGAGTGCGTCCAAATGAGCGAGAGATGTAAAGATATTAACGGAGGATTTTTCGATTTTCTACAAGTAAAAAAGATGAGACGAAATGATAAATAATTTGTCAAGACGTAAATAAACAAGAACAAAAAAGTCTAAGTGAATTCCATCAAGTACCACAAAAGACAGTTATTTGTAATGTTGTTTTTGCGAGCACTGTACCAGCATTTTGTCAGTAGATAATTAAAATAGATAATACTATGAAATATTGTGATCAACAAAGTCATATTTGTTGCTGTTAAGATATGTCGGAATAGAGTTAGCTCAAGGCTATCAACTAGTCCACTGCAAGATATCTGGCGGTAAACTCATTTACACGGCCTATTTCCGCTGGAGCCTCGTCTTGTTTTTCAGCTAGAATCTCTGTCTAATTTTCTTGGCTATAAGATAGATCAACTATCATAATTAGCACCCAGTAGTGTTGGCAAAAAAAAACTACCAACAATTTAAACACAATTTCCGACTAATTCCAAGTAGTTTTTTACTGCGCGTACTACATGGAAGTAATTTAGTGCAATACTTTAGAATCATAATGTGKCTTTTCAAAGGAAAAATCCGCGAGAGTACTTTTTAAAATGGAGGAAAAGGTGGGAGGCTATTTTCGTTAAATCTTTGTGTCTTAGCGCCGAGCTTCTTCAAGCTATCCATCATTTGGAGTTTGCTACAACTCGAATAATGATGTTTTGATTACAAAACAATAACACAGTCAAATTCGGTTCTCTTTTAATTATGATCCTGACGCGGAGAATCTTTGCAGAAGCAAAATAATGAAATAATAACACAATGATGAAATAAAAAACATCATTATAACCTTTAATGAGTCAAGAAAGGGGAAGTAAAAACAAGGAAAACTAAGATTTTTAATATAGGATTTTCGTACACAAAAAAAGAATAAAAAAAAATCAGTAAATTTGCCATGAAACAGAGTTTGCAAGTCGTACGTTGATTGAATTCCTTCCATTATTTTACGATTCACATAGGAATATATGATAGATATATACCATATTTTTTTCTTGTTATCTTTCTAGGAATAAAATAATCGAGAAAGAAAACAAAGAGAATATATTATTCCATGATTATTTTTTCTTTCGATTCCATTTAGAACCAGACGGGAATACTTATTAASATTCCAGATGTTGAACTGATAACCACTGGGCAGAAAGCGGTACACGTAAAATAAAGTAAAGCTTATTTGAACAGAGCAGATTTGCACAGAACTGAACAGCGTACATTTTGCCTCTTTCTTTCCCTCTTTTATTGGGCTGGATTTTAAAAAGTTCTATAATTATATATATGATATTTTAAAGGGATCTCTCCATGATACCTACATCAAACTTTTAAAAACAAAACTTTCTGAAAAAAAAACATAGGTCACTCTCCTTATGAAGTCTAAATGGCATAAAAAATTCAAGAGAAACTTCTAGTATTTTAAAAATTGAAATGGAAGAGACATGCTAAAAATGCCTTGTTATAACAAGAGAAACCGTGTTATTTTCTTTGTAAAAATCGCTGTAAAGTTCACTACTTCAACTTTTAGTCTTTTTAAATTTCCCATTTTGCGTGAGGCAACTAGAATCCATTCAAAAAACCTCACTTTTGATTCATTTCCATAATTCGATTTTCGCTATTTTCCTGTCTTTACTTATTCAAATACAAGACATGGCATATTGATAGTATCTGATCTAGAATCAGCACAGTTAATTAAAAGAACTACTTACAACCAAGCCAGTAAAATACAAAAAAGCCCAGATCGAAACCAAGTGCAAAACACATAAAATATTCTTAAAACCGTTTCATTTTTACATTGTTGGAGAAGAGTGTTATTCACACAAACCATACCTTACAAAAAGAAGCACTTTGAGTTCTAATGGGTCTATCTCGCTAAGGACTCCGCTAAGAGCATTACTCACAGCCTGCCAAGGAGTGCCCGCATGTGTGCCCAGTGTTCGAGCAGTCTTTAGATATTGACTCATACGTTGTGTTTCGTCCGATTACACTCATTATGCTGCCACTGGGGACCCTCCCCCGTGATCCTTGCAATTCATTTACTCTCTTAAACCCGTTGTGTTCTCTGTGGGCAATACAGGACAAACAGTACAATAAAAAGATAAGACCGTATTCTGCCTAATGTTCAGTTCAAAATGAACTATTGTTTCGCAAAGAAAAAAGAAAAAAAWTTTTAGCATTGATAACAGAAGAAAAAATTATACATGAAACAACTTGAAATCCATGCATGCCAAAATTGACGACATTATTTCAAACATATTTAAAGAAATTTTTTAATGTCACTGAAAATGAAGCGAGTATATATGTCCATAAGTAGAAAAAAAAACTCCAATTAAAAATCATAGTTTATTCATAATGTTTCCTTGAATATCAAAAATTCATTACTATAACACATTACATTAGCTAAAAACCTTCATGGGGTTTGTGGTAGACGTTATTATAGCCATCTCTATGCTTCTACGTTTACATGCTGTACCCAGCATACGTCTAAATTTACCAACATCTGTCATCTTGCGTGTCAGTTTTGCGACCGCGTATTAAGGCACAGGTTTTTACACACCGTTGGGTTTGTTCAGCCGATGGTTAATGAAGGAAATGTAAATCAGAGATTGAATGCTAAGTTTTTATTGAATTTTGATGCTCAAAATCAGTTGAAAAATTAGAAAAGCATTAAGCTTGAAAATAGCAATCTGGATGTTTGTTCTGTACCGCCATTTACGGTTAATTACATCAATTACTCTGGCATAAATAATTCATAGTTTCATGTATATACATTACTTATATTATATGTAGATGTTTTGTTCTCATTTTGGCTTTCCACTTTTATTGCGTAGAATCCTACGATTTGAAAACATGAACATGGCCACCAAATTTGATGTTTCAAAGTTTGGCTTATTTACACTTCCTCATTAATGGACTTATTTTGGCATTAATTTATTAGTTCTACTCTCATATTCATTTGTTTACCTATTTACTGATTGAAAATGTCTTTTTCAAAGAGTTTTCTACAAAAACTCGTTACTAGTTTTCATTTACCTGATGTTCACAGCGTCASTATAATGAGATGGCTTGTTCATCGRTTAATTTACTCAGAATAGATATTCATTCTAAACTGTATGAATTTCCTCTAGAACAACCTACATCTAAATATCTTTCCTTTCTTAGTTTCTTTCCTTTCATTCATTCATTCATTCAGATTACACGCAATTGTTTCTACTTTCCTTCCTCCATCCTGTTTTTTTTTCTTTTTTTATCCTGTTTTTTTTATTCAATCATCCATTCTTTTACCCATCTATTTTTTAATCTATCCATTCATTTATTCAAAAGTCCACCCACATATTCATGTATTATTTTTCTGCCTTCATTTGTATATTATCATTGTCCTTTCACAGCGACATTTGGCTCTTATGACGCATCAAATGCCAACATTTAGTCCAAAATTATCAAAAATTATCCTAAAACCATGCAATTCCTAAACTCCATTACACCATATTTTTTAATGACTTTTTCCTAAATTTCAGAGTCATTTTTTTTTGTCACGTATTCTTCTTCCCCTTGTCAACTTGATTATAAAATGATCACCAATTTCCAAATATTAGCATTTCGTCCTTCCTTAAAATCAAGTGTTTATATTACCAATCGCCCTATCATCAATCTCATTTTGATTTCTTGGTTGTTCCAAATGGGTTAGTATTTACTAAATCAACAGTAATACTGAAAGTTGGTGGACGAGCACCTGCGCATGAGAGTCTGTTTGTGAACAGATTGTTTACTGTAACGATTGTTCGAGACAATTATCACTTGTCCACGCTAAAATCCTCTTGTTAAAAGGAAATGTCATTTTGATAAATACTGTTTGGGACTTATCTTAAACATTATACATTTGTGCAGAGGTGACACGCTGAATWAAGTCAACGTGTTAACTGATCAACAAGATAAAAACAAATTAAAATATTAGACATGTTTCTTGAATTATTAAAAGTACCTACAAGTCGCAGACCGCGCGCTATATGGGACTCTATTGTTCCAGACGCTCCAGCTTCGAAAGGCGAAGGAAGATAATTATAAAATGGCTTAAAATGGAAGCATTATCAAGTAAAGAGCTTCTTATTTATAATTCATAACAACAAAATAGGCATAAAATTTACTATAAAAAAGCATATGAAAACTAAACCTGCAGAATTAACACTAACGTGAAACCTTGAAAATAGAAGTAAAATTAACTATTTCTTATTGTTTTTTTAATATTTCTTCATCTTTATACGAGATTAATAAATACATCCAGTTAACCTTCCTTGTAGTTCAAAATTGGAAGGTTTTCTGTACTCGCTACCTTTGCTCTGATTGGTCAATATCATACACATTATTTCATAAAGTAAGCAGTCTAGATTACTGGGGCTAACCAATAAACTATTCCTAATATTCACTAATCTGTAGTTTGCACACCTAAGTGATTTTCTCACATCTTAATTTAACCCCGCACAAATGTGCAAGTCTCATTTCAATTCCACTCACATAGATTCGCTTATCGGCAGTGTGAAGGATAATAAAATAATTACTGAATCGATTTTTAGTGATGAAGATCTCGGCAAGTGTAAGAAGACGTTTTCAATTCTACTTTATTTTTAAACGTAACACGCACATACTATGTAATAGCTATTAGTAATAGCTAAATACAATTAGGTGCCGCAAGAATAATCATCAAAAACCGACCAAACAAGCATTTTCTGATCTCAAATCATCAATACGGTACGCCATATTGAGAACAAAGCCGAAATTACGGCGGCGATGTCCAAGGAACAAACAAATTGAACATTATGTTGAACTGTTTGATTATAACAAGTGACATTTCTTTCTTCAAAATTTATCAGCTAAATATGTTCGGCTATCAGCTTTGGTTTTACGTTTGAGAGAATTGAATTGGGTAACATTCTCAACAGAAAGCTGTCAGACAGTCTATTCAGTTTTCRTTCAAGGGCCTCTAGGCATCCCATAATTTCTTACAAAAACAATTACTGTACAGTGTAAATTCAAAATGGCCGCCTGTTCGATCCAAAAAACGAATTTTCTCTTGCATGATTCAAAATRGCGGTTTAAAACTAAATTAAAATGCAAACAAAATTAAATGGAAYTTTTTTAGAAGTTCAAATAAAGTGGAATCCTTTGATGTCCTCGATAATTCGCCTTTATATTAATCTAGTTTCTGAACTTTTTTCAAGAGGGCTTTCTTAAGTGACTCTAAAGACTCTTCTTTCAATTAAATCAAAAATGCAACCAATTAGCTAAAGCAAAGTTGTTTGAAAACGTGAGAATTTGGTGTGCCTTAATAAGAAATACACTAAGATAACAATCTGTTTAAACTTACCTTTCACTGCCAATGATATATGATGGTTACCATAGAACGTCTCGGTTGCCCACCGACATCAACGTTGCATCATCGAGAATTTGCTAAATAGAATAAAATAAGATTTACAATCTGAGGTTCAAGGTTAAACATGTTGTCTGGCAAAAAACAGGGACACATAATCCTCAATATGGTGTGAGCTAAAAGCTGGAACACTTAATGAAAGTAGATTACGTTAAGTGGACTTGCGTTTGTCAATTTATCGCTGAGAATCGAGCTAGGAACTTTCTCAAAACAMTTTMTAAGTTAACTTGWTYYCTAGTRYGTCRAATAGTGRATAYGCGAACAAARKCAAGATWGGGTTATAACTGGAGAATTTTATGCAAAGGAAAACAGCTATTGACGGGAATTGTAGACATAGAAATGCGATATGAGGAGTAATCATCAGTAAAACACTAACACTCGTATCTGACTCTTGCATGGAGAAGTGGCTTAGAAGAAGGCATATTACCGTATTATTGCTATCAGTGAGTAAAATTGAGGAGAAAAGATATGAAACTTCCAGAAAACATGATAATCGAGGYTAAAAATAACCATGACATTTTTACGATCTTCTGCAAAATAAACAGCTTGGTTCCGCTTTCCTAACTGTAGGTTGRASACAAGTTCTTGCTCATTCTGGGCGATTTTGTGAAGCGATTCAGTGTTCAACTAATCGAAAAACGACATTGCAAACAGGCAGGGGAGATTATAGTAAAAAAAATTCAAAGAAGGCGTTTCAAGTTTTTGCAAAAAAAGTTTGGTAGGTAATGTTTGTCACTCTTCACTGAGCTATTGAATTAAAGGACAATAATCAACCGGCATCCCTTGCGAGCATGTATCTCTTTGAAAACAAGATTCATCTTACTATATAAAGCAAAATTTACTCTTTGTCATCCCTTTACGATGAATGAATGGAGATATTGTAAAATTCGACGGATGGAAACGGATTGCGATGAAATACTTGAAGTCAAACCACTTTCTATATATCTCAGTGAAAGATCTAAAACACGACCGCATTGAACGCTGGTAGATCATGGCCCTTAAGAGAAGAGATAAAAAACGCTTCTTTCTTTAAGTGGGGAACTAAATTGCTTGGAAAAGATTCTTTAAGAACATGAGTGTTTATTTGCTTATGAAATCCTTAATCCATACTTAAAACAAATGCACGAAACTCCTTATAGCCCGACATTTTTGTTTTGCTTGTTTTCTTGTTTTGGATGCATGATAGATTCCGTATTTCAACGACATTCCAGTTTTTWATGCAATTCTGGTATTTGTTTTACCCAAATTCGGCGTTCCAGTGGACTATGTCGACKATGTAAGGCATCTATATTTTGACAGTGAATGAATAAAAAAATCTATTTTTACTAGTGTCATGGTTGTGGTTGGGAAATCCACACTTGCAGTAGGATATTAACGACTGACGATCATTAATTTTATTTCTATGATTAAATTCCTTTGGAAAGATCAAAGTTGGCACGGATACCACCATTTTACATCAAAAAGCATTAACAAACCATTTCAAGTACAAACGGTGATCATTTCAATCTAGAGAAAAAATAAAACCCTAAAAACATCCAACATTGTATAGAAACAAAAATATTTTAAATGTAGACTGGGAAAAACACAAAATATTGCAGAAAAAATATTTTGAATGCATGGGAAAGTCATTTTTATGCTGCATGAAAACCACTTGATTGGGAGAATAATATTTTTGAAAACCGGGAAAATATTTGAATACGGAAACAAAATACACCATAAACACATAAGAAACAATAAAAGAACCTGGATGTAAAATCTTGAGAGCTTCTACACGCTTTTTTGTTCTCATAAAACCTTATTTTATGACAGCGGATGTTGTAGTCAGATCGTGGAGTATTTTAGGAAAAAACATGGCCGTCAATAACAAGTATCTTGATGAAAATCATTAGTTTAACATTCAAAAATATAACTCAATTATAAGTTAATTCCTTCACAAGTAAATAAAAAGTCGACGATAAGACAACACTTATTATTGACAAATAAAAGGAACTACTAACCTGGACACTTTACGAGAATTTGAACTTGGTACCACAGATAAAAATATAAACGAGAAAAAGAGTATTTTTAGATCTAGTTCTGAAAGTGTAGAGTTACTTGTACAACTAGAAGACAAGAAAGAAAGTCTCGAGGCTTTGTCTAATTCTATAGATRATTTTTCTAGCTTATAATTCTCGACTCCTCCCCAGAGGATAGATCTTGGATAGGAAGTCTCCTAAGGGGGGAGGGAAGGAAGCAATCAATCATAACATTGACAATCGACGTCCTCCTTGCGACATCTCTCCGGCGTAATTTTTTTCATAAACATTCCTCACTTGAAATCCCAGAATGTTAAAGCAACATCATTACGCAAAACATCGCAAAATCGCAGTCCACAAGTGTCATTATTTAGTGAAAATGAATGTTAGATTGAAAGTTATTGATAACACAAGTCGGCTAAAAAAAGATGATGGTTCAMAGAAAGCAACACGCTTTGAAGTGCGATAAGGAGTTGAATAATACTGTAGGTCGATTAGATTGAAACAAAGCAAATAACCTGTTTGACTGATAGTAATTTCAATGCTTTGATATCGCGACTTGGTAAACCGTCATTTAATCTGTGCTATGTGTAATCACTTTTATCTTAAGACACCATTTTAACTTRTGTCATCGGTGTCATGAAAGCGGTATTTAGTGAAAAGTAATTTCTTTTATCGATGGTTTGATTTTGAAACTGAAACAAATTGAGCGGGAATGAAGAGGGAGAGAAGAAATTTATAAATTCCATATCTTAAAATAGCATTAATTCTCTATACAAGAAAGTACGGCGAATTCTATAGCTGAAAATTGTACCTTTTACACAAAAATAGATCAAGGGTAATGTTTTTAAGACACAAAAAMATCAAAGTAAACTTTTGAAATGATCAAAAAMGTTAAAATCGTATCGACTACAATAAAAATWAAAGTCAACAAGAGCGAAAACCAGTTTGTAATAAAAATGTTTTTTTTTCAGCCATTTTAGGTTACAAACAATAAACTAAAAGTGAAACACACCGCATATATTCTATTTCTAAATCAACAGATGAGMAAATCCTCGTCTAAAATCCTGCCACCGCAATCGTAGATCACGAGTTTTAATCATAAATAAAAAACTTCGTTGTTTTAGAWAAATCTCAAAGTTCAAGTTTACGACTGAGTTTTTTAATTAACAAAGTGAAATAAGAAAGGCTTATTAAAAAACCAACCTAAAACCACCTACCTTTTTACCGCACGGCACGAAACGACGTTCCTTGGGAGATAACAGCGGGTTTTCTACAACTAAAAGAAACAAGAACAAAATATTGTATATATTGATAAATTTATAAGGTTTGAAATTAGGAAACACCGAATTAGCAACCTTCTTTTAGGCGTAAAGTTCAAGGTTTCGTCTTGTGGGTTTGCTTTTCCTTGAACCTGAAATTCTTGTCAAGGGTGGAACATCCGTCTTATCTGCTCTTAATTCTAAATTCCGAGATTGGATATTAGAGCAATATTAAAAGCCACTTCTCACTGCAGAACAGACCTTACTATAAAAAGCCAATTTCTTGATAGTAAATGCAAAGCCACACTAAACCAAACTACAGAGAAATGTAGGCYACTATCATGAAGTCATACTTTTAAATTGTGTCATGAAGTGCAGTCACCGCGCAAATAAAAGTAATTTTTGTGAAGCTGATTAGAAAGTAAAAAGGTATAATGAACTGATTGCCAATACAGTTCCGTCACTTTTAGCCAAATTATGATCCCCAATGGACATCCAAATTATACAGTCACTTATTTTGTCAATTGTCAATGGACTTCGCTTTAGGGGAATATGGATGTAATGTGAGTTAGTAGAAACGTTTCTCATGCAAAAAGCCCTTCATTTCCCGTGATGATAAAACGATATTGAAACTCCGCTACTGAGTACTTTATTTAGATTTCTTCACTTGAATCATCGTGAAATACCAGCAAAAAATAGACTTCACTAATGATTTTGACATCCTTAATTTAATTAATTCTTACAATGAGGTTTAAGGAATGAAGGAATACTACCACGCAAATCTTTTGGATTTTTCATTTCTCATATTTCCCGATATTCCATTTCCCATTATTCCACTTATAATCTGTGTGTTAAACACTTTTCAGACAAGCACATTCTATTATGTTTCAATGTATTTCGACTTTTTCAATTTCAGATGGTCATACGAATATGGTCAACGAATATKCCATTAATTCCAAWYATATACAGATTGACTTTACAAAAAGCTAGCTCTTTAACTCTTTTCTTTCGAGCTTCTACATGCCAAACGGCGACAAAACTACAAGTTAATATGACTCCATTTGTTTCTGATACCAAAACAACTGCCACAACATTTAATGATGTTTTGTCAATGRYTATTCACTGACTGTTTGAATCATCAGTACAAAAAGAGCATGTTTTGTATTTCCGTAAGRATAATTWTGTACGGTTTTTTCGACAGTTCGGCAGCAGCGCATCAATCAAAAGAAACTGAATCATCTCTAGAATGATAAATTGTCGTTAAATTCACTGTGTGAAAGTCAAAATAGGTCAGGATATGAATATACGAGTTGTACTGCACCACTGAGCATAATAATTGAGGAAAGCCCTCACTGTTAATGAAGCCACTAAACTAGTTTTTCGTTTTAATTATTCCACATTTTCTATCTTTTAATTATTTTCTCCTTACGTGACGCCTTTCCCACTTTTTTCATGTTTTCAAATTTTGCTTTTCTCGTTCTCTCACTCCCACATTGCATATTTCTTTCCTATTATTCACTTTTCTTACCACTTTCTTCACCTTGTTCAAACGRCTGCACGTTTTATATAAAATCGACATTTACTAAAACAAAGCTTACTCWGGCAGCTTTTTCGCTATTTCTAAACGGATTATACCATACCAGATAATACCTTTAAACCACAGTCAAAGAATTGACACGCAAACTTAAAAAATACCGACTTTCTAAAATGAAAACAAATTTACGCTTGGGATCAATACACTTAGGGTAGATAAGAGACATGAGTAGGGAGGAAGTACCGAAAATGATCGCCGGTCACCTGATTAAATAAAATCAAAAATTAATCAAAATGATGACACGATTCGCCTGCCAGGGATTACCATATTAATGGAGTTTAATTTAATAAAATAAAAGAAATCGACTTGATTTAAGAGTGTAAACTTCACAAAGATAGAAGGAAATGATATATCAAGAGTAATACGTTGGAAAGTAAACAAATCATTGAGATTACTAATGATTAAGAACTTCGTGGTCCGCCATGTTGATGTACAATTATCGTCCCAGCTTCTTTCCCATTTTTTTAATATGTTTTCCATTTTTTATATGTTTCCCCAAATTGTAAGATTGTGCATGTCATTTTTTTTTCTTTGTTTTGTTTTGATCTGTTTTGGCTTGTTTTGTTTTATGTTATTTTGCCTTGTTTTGTTATGTTTCGTTTCAGTGACTCAATAAGCCATTATTTCGTACAAACGGATCAGAAAAAAATACACGAAACTTGAAAATGTAAATGACTTTGTTGTAGTCACATCGCAAATGGAAAATAAAAGACTAATAAATGAAACACTTTAAAAGGATAAACAAGGACTTTAGCCAATGTCACAAAACACAAAAATACTGAATCAGCCACAGGCAGCCCATCAAAACGGTATTAAACAGACAAAGGCACGAATCACGGAACCTCATGAAATGAAAATACTGATTCAAGAATACATTGCGTCTTTTTTAAAGAGTTTTTCTTTTCTTTTTACAGTTGTACGAAATCCTTCAATAACGCYTTTTTATCCCGGAAATTCCTTTTTTTTTTTGCATTTCATACTTCACACAAGTGCCAGGAAAACCCCAAGGATATTAAAATACTTAACAATAATTCGATCMCTTTTTATGCTTTATGCTGACAAACCTTTTTAGTCMGGAAGTGCAGCATTTCCCACAAAAAACGATATTTTGCCAAGTTGAAAATTGCCTTACTACAACTCACCCATGTCTTACAGTTAGTATATACACAACTTTACAAAACTTTACAAACAAGTTTACTGGAAATCGTGCTATAAACAACTGGGCTTGTTTTTATGCCAAAGGTAGAAGGACCACAACAAGCTATAACGATGTGTATATATCTATACATATTCAAATAAACAAAAAACAGAACAATGAGCTACTTATAAGTGTGCTTGCCTTAAGGCAATGCTTTATGCCATTAAGGTTGGCTTTACACCACTTCGCATAATTCTCCATGGTCAATGGTTAAAATTTTAGCTTTGCCGCTGTTCAAAGCCACCTTATTCTTTAGATAACAAGATTTCGATTCAAAGTCCTGACATTGCTGACATTACACTTYGTCAAAAAATCTCGGTATTTTTATTTATTTTTTACAAAAAAAGGTAATTAATGCTATTTGGATCCTTTTGACTCAGCTAATTAGGATAAAAATAAATAAATAAATAAAAAGGACCCATAAAAACGAAAATGAAGTTTCCATTCTTTCTAAAAAAGACAGTGCTACTAGTTTAAAACATCCAAACGCCATCACATCGGTTTTTCTTGCCAGCACCTAGTGCAGTTTATAAGATAAGCCCAGCCATCTGAAAGTACATTTTCCTTTTCAAAATGCAAGAACCGGTTTCGTAAGAAGTATTCCTGATTCTAATCGGATGAATACTTTCAGCAATATTAGCGTACATAGACAATTTTCTTCGTCCCTTTGGAGTCTAAAGCTGAGTAGATTTGCAACAGAATTGTGGTTTTGGCCGTAAAAACCACTTGAAACTGTCAAGTTTTGGCGACCACTGAAAGTTTAACTTGTCAATAATAGCCTCTTATTCAAATTATATTGATGACTTATTATCTAGACAAGTATAGGAAGAATCCATATTGAAAATAAGAAAAAAAAGTTTAAAAACAGAAACGATAAATTCTGTGACAAGCGTAGTAAAGCAATGRTGAAAMRTAATATCAGTAGTACTAAAAGTGTCGTACGGTGTAGTTAAACTGTTGATAAGTGCAGTCTTCGAGTACCGAACTATGCTGTAGACATCAAAGACGCAACGAATGATTAACGAAAGACATCTAAAAGAGCTGACTAACTTCGTCTAGGAAGGRTTATTATTYCATACCCTGAAGAGATCATTTATCGTAAGGKAACAAGACCAAAGKCACCGAACAAAACTAAAGACTATCACTGTTAAAAGCAAACATACCGCTAATACGGAAGACTACGACATTTTCAAGGAATCAACCTCGTTCCGTTCTAACGGTTCTATCTTCAGGCGCTAAAGTTATTCYTATTCGAAACACTYTGCCTCGAAGRCATTACATTTTAGCTCGAAATCTTACCTAAAATGAACTACAAACCACTTGAACAGTGCTGACAGTTCGATACCATAAACACACCTTAACATCTGATCATTTCCAAAGGGAAAAGCACTGCTGTTAGATTATCGCTGGTCAAATCGATGAGTTTTTGATAAGCAAGTTCAATACACTTCTGAAATCGACGATAACAACATTGAAGAGCGCGCCCGTCCACGTGGAACAGCTGACGCAACGTCACTTCCTGTTAGTTCAGACGTGTCGGGTGGGGCAAGACCACGGAACTATGATTGGGTTTGTTCAATTCATTTTCAAATTAGTTTTTGATATCCAGCTAGACGTTATGGAAGAATGATTTGACACATCCTACACGTGCATGCAGCTGAAGATAGCTTATTCCAAGACCGAAATGCATTGTTGGTCATTTGGTCACCTTTCAAAAGGAGTTTTGGTAGTTTCARARTRACTATAACAATCTCCGTAMAGTTGAGAACTTTTATGGAAAGCAATTAAGTTTAGAATTGTCATTTTGTAGCGCAACTAACGAGGAATTTACTAGCAACAATCSATTGCGRTTTTGGAAGGMACTCTATACAGCATACAGTATTCAACGCGGTTTTCTGAATTAGCTGCAATTCATCAAAAAACATGAATTCATGCTCTTCATAACAGAAAGAATAAAATTCAATTTCACTTTATAACATATGTGCATATGACTTTAAGAAGAGACAGTCTGTCACCACGCCAATAATGCAAAGATATCAGGTTCTTGCGGTCCTTTCTCGAGATCTTCACAATTCACGATATTCATGTWTTGGCGATCATTAAATGAATTGTATACTTTAAGTCAGTCAGKTAAGATAAAAAACATAACATATAAAAAATCATTGAACGCTCCGCGGAAAATACCAGAGAATTCCTCTGCTAAGCTCAGGAAAACGGACTCAGATACAATGGCTGACGAACTAAGTTATTTTTACCGCCAAAATCAGAACATTAAAACGAAAAACAATTAATGTCGGATGAAAGACACAGATAACACCGCAGAATGCTCTGTTTACTAGAAAACAGCTTGGATATAATGATTAGGTTTTCTGAACCAATCGACAAACCGCAATTTAACCCAAAATTTCAAGTTCATTACTGCTTATATTGCYAAACTAAAGCTATACACCTAGAAAAGAAAAACAAAGAATTTCGTGTAGTTACGTTATCAAAATAGACAATCTGGACATAATGATTTCCTGGAAACTCATCACTAGCCTGCGTAGCGGCCCTAAGGGGATTGGGGAGGCCCGGCCACTCCCCGCTCGGCCGGCCCTCCCCAATCCCCTTAGGGCCGCTACGCAGGCTACTCATCACTAGATCTCATCACTAGCAACTCTTAATGGTAACTGTTACTTCTTCTCTCCAATAAAGTCTTAGAGTGCAAGTTAGTGAGAAAAAARGTATTGTAACTAAATTAAAATAAACTCTTAGTGTCGAAAACTGTAACAATCTGAACAGACTACAGTTATCATCGTAATGAGTACAATATGTCTTATAATACTTGGACAACATCAAGCCAGATATCAATTAAAATAGTGACATTCGGTAAACTTCTGTCCTCCTAAACAAACGATGTTTTTAATGAATGATGATTACGAAGAACYCCAGTGTCCATATTCGTACAAACGCGTGCTTACTTATCAAAACSATATACAGTTGTTCGCGGGGGAAGACGACGGTTATATAAAGTAACGTCATTTCCTGAAACAAAGCATGATGGGAAAGATTATGGCTCCATCTCGCATCATGCTTTATTGCTCAAAATGGCAGCACTTTTTTGTTAGCCCTTTCTTTCAATATCAATATCAAGCTCGAAAAAAATAGAAAAAGTTAGCTACGGAAGATTTTCGTCAATGCATGCTTTTGAAAGGATGCGAAGAGGGCGTCAAAACATTCCCTACTGGAACAAACTAATAAGAACTTTTTCACTCTGGTTTTATAAAGCCGAAGTTGGCGATTTCTGACAGGGCAACTCAAAAACTATCCGGGTGACTTAGATAATACATAATCAAATTAACACTTTTGGCCTTTATTAATTGGAGAACTTGACCGCCAAATGTGTGGCCAATTTTAACAAGGAAAAAGAAAACAGACACAGTGATCAAACAAACAAAAAAKTGCAGCTTATACCAATGAAATGCCACGGACGACCAACAGACTTTGTAACCAATTTGGCCGCCATYTTGAATTGAAGAAATTATGAACGTAACTTCAAACTTTTATATCATATAATGTTGAATTTCACAGCATTCTAAAACAAGTCTAGAAAGTTCTTGCTTAGTGCCCCTGGGCATCCCATAGTTTCTTACTAAGATTCAAGATGGCGGCTTCATTAGTAATAAGGTCTATCAACGGAAAAAACAACTATCGATTAAAAGAAAATGACATTAAAAACAAACAAATAAAGGAATGCACAAACGATATACAATAGRACGATTATTACGAATAAAATAACATAGCAAACAGACAAAAGGTGCAATGTACATGCCCTATGTTTATCTACTTTGRCTTAGGTCTCTGCTACTGATAGCCATTTCACCTTCCCCCCCAAGAGACACTTTCTTGTCAAAATAAACTTGTTTTGCTTGAATGATCAAATCTGTTGTTGTTTCAGTTATGATAATTAGTTATTAGACAATAATTTTGTTCAATTACCAAGCCACTTGAAAACTCTTAAAAAAAGCYGCCAATAGATAACATCGTGTGGTGCCTTTCTGTAAAAAGAATATCAATTGATTTTTTTCCCCTCATTTTTTTTCCATTTTCATGTTTTTTTCCTCATTTTTCCTGTTTCATTTTCATGTTTGAGCTGCAAATCGTTTTGCTCTGTCTGTTTTCGTCATGAAAGCACACATTTTCTTACTTTATGTAATAAAACTCGGCCTTGAAATGTTTTTATCACGTATGCGAGAGAGAGGCGCCATTGACCGGAAACAATGAAAAGACTTTGTAAAAGCTAAGATGTAAAAAAAAAATATTTAAAAAATTCAAAAGCAATCAGCCCATCACAATTTAAGGTGTTGGCTAGTACTGGACGTCATTGTGCACAATTAAATACTAATACTTCTGGAGAGGCGAGCTTCAAWACTGCTGAGAAGCGAACTTCAGTAATCAAGAGCTGTCAATGTTTTGACTGTTTTAGGTCAACAAGGGCAAGAATACAAGTCCAAAGAACAAGTTAAAGCTGTACTTCGAACAAAAGGTTCCCAGACAATAATATACTGGYACAGTAAGCCAAAATTACACAAGTGCTAAGCCTTACTTTGTAAAAGTTTACCTTGTCTTTCGGTTAATGTAATCGCCTTGAAATKCAAAATCCATTCAAATACTGACAAAATATAGTCGAAGAAAAATTTAGCTGAAATTTTGTCTCAGGCCGGTTGTTTTCTCTACTTTGCTAGTAGATAAAACAAATGTCTTCTAACTAAGCCTACTTAAGTACTCAGCAGTACTAAATTTAAGGGTAGATTGCATTGATATATCTACGGACTGATATGACGAAATACCTAGAAGCTCACGAACATATCTTGTATTTCTCCTTATTTTCCACAMATTCCCATGCAAAATCTCTTTTGCGCCGAAAACMTATGATTGAATCCATCCTATATTGCTTTGGTATATTGATTTTGGAAGATACAATATTCCTTATAGCGCAAGTGCTCCGTTTATCGACGAAATATGGCACGCTCTTCCGCTCTAGGGCCAATCAGATCAGACAAAAACGAATCTATCCTTAATGATATATAAAGTACAGCTTTTGACAATTGTTGAGTTAATAATTGGATTCATCAGCTCCCTGATTTCATTATAAAAGCGCACGATTAAGGGAAATGCCAGGAATCTCCTGAATCACCCACGATGGATGCTTAACTAGTAAATAAATGGCTTTACAAGATKACACTTAAAGAAGCTTTTAAAAAGMKCTATTTTACCGACTTTTCTGTGAATTTTGAAGCATTATTTTCCYTCAAATTAAGCATTGTATAAGTAGGTGACTAATACAAACATAGACGACATTGTAGRAGTATTTGAAATACTTGAACTGATACTTTGGTATCTGTCTATTATTAAGTACGGCAGTAATTCCAACAAAGTTTATTCGGCTAGAATTTTATATACTCCATATTACTGCATTTACCTAAATGTTCGTTTTGAACGGTATTCAGTAAACTGAAAAAATAGCTAAACAAAATAAATAAACAACTAATATATTCACATCTTACAATCACTGTAGTTGAATATATGATTTACAGAATCATCCAAAAATCTCCGGTTCTTGTTTTTATCAGAAAGGATTTATTGAATTAAAACAATCTAAGTACAAATGATTGATTTGTGGCTGACTACTKCTGTTGTTTTGGCGTTGTTGGCTAAGATAATGTTTTCACTCAATGTGTTTTTGTTTGTTTGATTTGAGCTCGAGTCCACAGCATCGCAAACATTGCTGTATTAAACTGAGTATTGTTTGCATAGATACTCATAWARSCMA